ACATAAGCAAAAAGAAAAAAGCCGGAAGTGGCGCTGTGGCTCAAGTGGTAGAGCGCTAGCCTTGAGCTGAAGAGCTGAGGGACAGTGCCCAAGCTGAATTCAGGCCCCACGACCGGACCCAAAAAAAACCCCCCAAAACCAAAAAACAACCAATAGTTTGTATGTTCTGTCTTTATGCATTTAATATATGGAACAAAATGCAAAAGGTTTATGTATCACATTGTTACAAGGACTAACATGGGGGTAGGGGGCTTTCAGCTAAGGATGAAACAAACACTATGTATCCTAGATAAACATTGTACCATTGGTCTGTCTCCAGCTCTGAGAAAAGAGTTTAAACTGAAGCTAGTTGCTTCACACTTGTAATTCTAGCTACTTAGAAGGCTGAGACTAGGAGGATGGAGGTTGAATTCAGCTTGGCTGGAAGTCATCTAATGAACTAGTAGAGTGCAAGACAAGGGGAATGGTTACTCATGTGGTAGAGCACCAGCTGTGAAAGTTGAGTAAGAACTTAGGTCCTGAGTTCAAGCCCCAGTACCTCACCATAAATAAATAAATAAATGGGAGACTTTCTGGTTACTCAGTAGGTTAATGTATTTTTCATTTTTATACAAAAAAACTGAAATTTGAGGAAAATAGATATAAATTCTTTTTTTTTAATATAATTTTATTGGGGCCGGGAAGGTGGCTCAGTGATAGAGTGCTTGCCTCGTATGCATAAGGCCCTGGGTTTAATTCTTTTTTTGGGTCTGGTCGTGGGGCCTGAACTCTGGGCCTGTGCACTGTCCATCAGCTCTTCAGCTCAAGGCTAGTGCTCTACCACTTGAGTCACACTGCCACTTCCAGCTTTCTTCTTTTTTGCTTATGTGGTGCTGAGGAATCGAGCCCAGGGCCTCATGCATGCAAGGCAAGTGCTCTACCACCGAGCCACCTGCCCAGCCCAGTTCTTTAGTACCACATAAGCAGAAAAAGCCAGAAGTGTTGATGTGGCTCTAGTGGTAGAGCGCTAGCCTTGAGCTGAAGAGCTAAGGGGCAGCTCCCAGGCCCCACGACTGACCAAAAAAAAGTATATATTATATATTTATATGATTTTGTTATTACTAAGATGTTGTACTGTGGGGTTACCATTTCATAAGTTAAGTAATGAGTTCTTTTTTTGGTAAATTGTGGGCGCTGTTCCTGAGCTCTTTTGCTCCACTAGTGCTCTACCACTTTGAGCTACCGGGCTAGGCTACTTCTGTTTTTTTTGGTGGTTAATTGGAGATAAGTCTTACACACTTTTTATTTTTGTCGGTCATGGGGCTTGAACTCTTGGCCTAGGCGCTGTCCCTGCGCTCTTCAGCTCAAGACAGCACTCTACTGCTGAGTCTCAGCACCACTTCCGGTTTTCTAGTGGTTAATTGGAGATAAGAGTCTCATGGACTTTTATGCCCGAGCTGGCTTTGAACCGGGATCCTCAGTTCTCAGTCTCTGTAGCTAGGATTACAGGCTTGCTTTTCTGCAAAGGATGGCCTTGAACTGTGATCCTCATATCTAAGCCTCCTCCAGAATAGCTAGGATTATAGGTATGAGCTACTAGTTTCTGGCTATTTTTTTTTGACAGTGTCACTTCTTCCTTTGTTTTCCCCAGTTTCCTCCTCCAGCCCATGCAGATAAGTTACATAGTTCATTTTTTACATAGTGTATACTGAATACAGATTTATAATCTTATAATACCCTTTTTTAAACATTAAAACATTTTAATTGATACATAATTATGCATGAAGTACAGTGTGATATTTTAATATAAGTATACACAATGTAATGATCAGTTCTGGGTAATTAATACATTAATTGGTACATTTTTCACCTCAAAAGTTTCTATTCTTTTTTTTTTGCCAGTCCTGGGGCTTGAACTCAGGGCCTGGACACTGTCCTTGAACTACGTTTGCTCAAGGCTAGCACTCTACCACTTGAGCCTCAGGCACAGTTTTCAGCTTTTCTGTTTATGTGGTACTGAGGAAATTGATCCCAGGGCTTCATGCATGCTAGCAAGCACTTTACCACTAAGCCCCATTCCCAGCCCAAAAGTCACTTTTTTAAATACAAATTTTTTTCTTTTTTTTTTTTTTTTGTCGGTCGTGGGGCTTGAACTCTGGCCTGGGCACTGTCCCTCAGCTCTTCAGCTCAAGGCCAGCGCTCTACCACTAGAGATACAGCGCCACTTCTGGTTTTCTGGTGGTTTATTGGAGATAGGAGTCTCACGGTCTCTCCTGCCCCGGCTGGCTTTGAACCGAGATGCTCAGATCTCAGCCTCCTGAGTAGCTAGGATTACAGGCGTGAGCCACCAGTGCCCGGCTCAAATTTTTTTCTATCCCTTCTTTTATAGTACTGGGGATCGAATCTAGGATGTTGCATTTGCTAGACAAGTGCTTTGCCAGTGAGCTACATCCTAGCCCATCTGTCATTTCTTTATGTTGGGAAAATCCCCCTTTTTTTCTTCTTATCTTTTTTTTTTTTGGTCGGTTGTGGGGCTTGAACTCTGGGCCTGGGCGTTGTCCCTCAGCTCTTAAGCTCAAGGCTAGAGCTTTACCACTTGAGCTACAGGGCCACTTCCTGTTTTCTGGTGGTTTCTTGGAGATAAGAATTTCACGGACTTTCCTGCCCGGGCTGGCTTTGAACCGTGATTCTCAGATCTCAGCCTCCTGTGTAGCTAGGATTACAGGTGTGAGCCATTGGTGCCCAGCTCTCTTATCTTTTTTATCTTTCCTTGGTGACAGTTCTGGGGCTTGAACTCAGGGCCTGGGCACTGTTCCTGAGCTTCGTTTGTTCAAGGTTACTGCTCTACCACTTGAGCCACAGCTCTACTTCCAGCTTTCTGGTGGTTTGTTGGAGATGACTGTTTCAGGACTTTCTTGCCTGGGCTGTATTTGAACCATGATCTTCAAATCTCAACCTTCTAAGTAGCTATGATTACAGGCATGAGCTACCTTCACTTGGTTTTGAGAATTCCAGTTGCAACATTATTTCCCGTTGTGCGTTAATATTCTTGTCTTGACTTAATTTGTTTTTAAGTCATTGGTGTGTTGTCTATGTGAATAGATTGTGTGTGTGTGTGTGTCTGTGTGTGT